GTCATAATAGTTATGAACGAAACAGTGTGTCATAATGGTTATGAACGAACTTTAAATTTATGCATAATATGCCCTAAGACCAGTTTGCGTTTAAAAATAGCTGTTCAATGGTCTTTCATTTATCACTTGACTATAATTTAGACCAGAGTGTTATTTTAGTCAATTCTAGTGGATGAAACTTGATATAATTGATAGTATTTTGGTCACTTATTGTTCGTTCATAACTATTATGACACAAAAAAGTAATTTTATCAAAAATTAATAAAGATTTTTATAAATAGTCAATTCTATGTAAGCTTGGAAGTTATTTGCTATGTCTCAAAATATAACATCAGCCTAGCTGAAGAAAGGAACTTTGAGTATTTCTAAATTTGTGTCATCATTGTTATGAACGAACTTTTTGCTATTTCCGACATTAAAGTCAGAATTACACCAAGACCATTGCATATACAGCTTTGGCAGTTACTGAGCCTGAAAGAGCAATCATTAGGCTATATAATATGGGTGATTAATGAATTATTACATAAAGTTGATTTTGGACCTCATTTGTCACACCCAGGTATCCCACCTTTTGGCAAATGCTCTACTGTTAGCCTACTAAAAGCGTACAATTGATCTTGTAGTTCCGTTCGTTAAAGTCCACGATCCATTTGTTTACATCCAGAGAAGAAATCCAGAAGTCATGAAGACAAAATACTATTTGAATTAGGCTACACAAAGAGCAGGGATGCAACCTAGCTGCAAAACATCAAATTAGGATAAAATTCAGGGGGCATGCCCCCCTGGACCCTCCACCTCCATATATTTTTGTAGGTCAGGGGGGAAGCCCCCCTGAAACCCCCCCCTACTCTTGACTTTAACGAACGAAACTACAAAATCGCCAAATTTTGTCTGTGGGCAGTGGAGAGAGAGAGAGAGGAGTGCGCGAGAACTTCCGGGCAAAACAAAATGGCGATCCGCGTAGTTCTGCTCGATTCGAAAAGTTAAATAGCTGTAGCATCTTTGTAGACAACCAAATTAATTTACTTTTGTGTTTTAACATCATTTTTTAACTTTGTTTTGGTCAACTTGATCGTCCACATCGATAGACAGTATTCAGAAAGAGATAGAGAGAGAAGAGGGGAGAAGTAGATCTTGCGAGAACTTCCGGGCAAAACAAAATGGCGACCCCCGTAGTTCGACTCGATTCGAAAAGTGAAATAGCCATAGCATCTTTGTGGTCGATAAAATTAGCTTACTTTTGTGCTATAGCCTATAACGTAATCTTTTCTTTGCCGTTATCCATTTGATCATCCACATCGATAGAAAGTATTCCTAAATTAGGAAAAACAGGTCTTGTTTCACACCGGGTGAGAATAGCCTACGGTGGCAAGTCTCACCCGTGGTGAGAGGTCGATCGTATTTCTTTTCTCACCCCGGGTGAGAATAGCAGACTTCCCTAGATCTAGACAGACAGATATAATACCGTATCTTATTGGCCCACATGGGCGAATAAGCTGGGGCTTGTTGGCCCACATGGGCCATTAAATGCGTTGTTTTTTCAATGTATTTCATACATGGTATTGTCCCAACTTGTTCCCTAACTTCTTACCTATTGCTAATCTTTTTATTTTCTGAGTGTCTACGTACACGGTAACCGGGCACGTAGCCTCAGGGTCTACATACACGGTAACCGGACACGTTGCCTCAGTGTCTACGCACACGGTAACCAACCGGCAACCGGCGTGTAGTCTCAGTGTCATACGGTAACCGGGCGCGTAGCAAAAACAGTCGTACACTTTGACCCCCGAAGCAGTGCATGTGTGTGGGGGTGAAAGTAAAGATTTTACCCATTTTCCGTCTTACGACAGGGGAATTTAGGGGGGAGGTGGAGGGGGGTTTCAAAGGCAAAGGCACCCAGTGGTGAGATCAAGGCCAAGGGTTGCTTGTCCGGTTGGCAAGCAGTGGTCAAAGATTCACATCTCTCAACTGCTATCCTCTCTGATAATGGCAGGCATCAGTCTTCCAATAACCACGAGTGCTTGCATTTCATAGGACCACTGTTTGATGGATTAAAAACAGAGACGTTTGAACTTCTAATTTGCTTCCTCCCTTAGCCCCACCCATCAGTGTAACTAAAACTAGCAGGGGCGTGGCGTCACTTCCAGAGAAAGTGGCGCCAAGAACAAATTTGTGCACAACGAATAGTATTGCCTACTTATTACAGGCCTATTATAACTGTAGACCTACTATACGCCTCTTCGTTTAATTTAAATACTGATACTTCCATGCGAGAAGAATAGATATGTGCCGGTACAATCTTTTATATATAGAGAGAACTGATGATAAAGAACCAAGTTCGACACTCAAGATGAGCACAATCACATCACATCGTTATTGTTCACACACAAAACAATAACTTCCCACGGATCAACAGAAAAGCACACGTTCACAGTCAAGAACATGCATGCACTATTGCCCTTGGTGCGTCTTGACATAATGACCCCATTCCCTGATTCACTTGCAGTTCTGGTTTCTAGAAAGCAGACAATAAAACCTATTTTTAGACAGTTCGCAACCATACCATGTCCAGGCTAATTACCGCTCCATCCCTTCCCTACCATACAGGCGCCAAATCCATCTCGGCCCTTTAGTTCTACAGTACAGTCTCTTAGTGTGATGGGAGTATCTGTTGTAGCATTTTTGGCTGACTTATGTTCTTGGTGATATCTCTTGTGTCTTCCGTCAAACGTCTGGATGGGTTTTATTAAAGAAACTTTTTTGGGGAAAGAAAATCCTGTTTTTAACTGATTTAATTAAATAGTTTATAGATCATTTTGAATTATTTTGACCAGACTTCACACCTAAACAATGAACATCCAGATGGGTTCAGGCAGAGACACTGGTTCAGGTAGCACCGATCTGGGCTCGGTGCCCTCGGTGACGTCAGACGTCGGAAACGATAGACGAGGGAAGACCTTTGCGACCGGCAGTGGGGGGCTTACCCGCCCGCCTCCAACTAGCCTAATTATGGACACTTTAAAGTAAAGGCTGGCGTACTTAGGGATGAACACTGAATAAGAGATTTGTTTGAAGAAAATATTGTGATATTTACTTAAGTTTTGGAAAATCGTATTCCCTTTTTTGAAAATCTTTTCTCCATTTCATTTTTTGAGTTCTAAATACTGTGTTTTGTGACTCAGTGGTAGTTTTTCTGGGTTCGGAACTTTTTAAAGTTTTTAAATGTATTATATACTCATATTATTTAATTTGTTTTGTTTTTTCTTTATTCATTAGATGATGATTCCAGAAGAAGTAAAAAAGAATGTGAGAGCTGTTTTGCTTTCAAGAACCGGTGGAGTACCTTTAAATCAGTTTCTATACGACTACCAAAAGCTCCTTTGTGAGCCACTGATGTTTAAACCACTCGGATTTTCTTCGTTACACAAATTCATGGAAGCCATTCCAGATGTTGCAAGGTGGGTGCATACCTATTGTTGTTTTATACTTTATCTGCAGACTTGGATCACTGACTGTAATTAGCGCTCAGAGCTTGTGTACTTTAATCGGGGTTGAGCGCTATAAATATATTGAGAAACATCAGTTCAAACAACATTTACAGACCATCCACAAGGGACAAAGTGTAATTTATTGATAATAATAAATTTATATATTCCTTTATTATAAAGGCCTTAAATTTGCATTACACAATCACTGTGTACCGCCCTCGGTAAAAATTTGGATGGTCTGTAAATGTTTTGTTTGAACTGATGTTTCTCAATATATATTTCATTTCATGGAGATATTATTATATGACTAAGAATAATCAATTCAGTTGATTTGTATTTTTTTATATTGTTCTCTTAGCTTGTGTTTTTCAAGTCATACTTGTTGATTCTGTCACACTGTCTGAATTAGAAAAGTAATAAAGACAGCAGTTCTCAGCTGAACTGCTGGAATTCTTCAACGCTTCAGTTTTACTCATATCTGTCCAATTTTCGTTGTAAAATCCAGACAGTTCAGTTTGTTGTTTTTTTCTTCAGGGATATCTTGCTTCGTACATTGGTGCATGCTATGCACACATACAATGGTAAAGGTAAAATGAAGGCGCCCCCCCCCCATACCATTTTGAGCTGCCTGCTTGATCTAGTGCTCAGCATCCAGGTTCTCCATAGAGGGGTTGCAGTCATGTCTCACAAAAGCAGGCAACCGAGGGCAGTACACAGTGATTGTGTAATGCAGATTTAAGGCCTGAAGGTTACATACAGCACCACTTTTCAAACTGTTTACTTTTGCAGAAAATAATATTATGAGGAGTTGTGACTAGTTGTCCTGTGTTGTACTGTAGAGAAAATAAGTAACTTGATGCAGCTCTTACGGTCAGATAGAATAGGCTTTTTACGACAACTCCAGCCAGTCTTCCGGACATTTGTGACCAGCTGTAATTTCTTTCACAGGATCGTGAATCCAAATGATTCAGGTGCAAAGTTGTTTGGTGTCGGAGAACCGGACTCTTACATGCCACTCAGTGCCAGAAAAGCTCAGGGAACACTTCCCAGAAATTATCACCAGAACTTAAAGAAAAGGGAAGGTGAGAATAGGTCAATGTACTTTAGTAGTTTGTCATCACTTTTGATGATTTAAGTTGTCTTTTTAATCCAGTTCGGACAGATTATAGGAGATGCAACATTTCATCTCGATGCCCCTTATTTTTGTCGTTCTTAACCAGCAGGATAGTTGATGTTACTGTTACACATACCAAAAAATATATGACTGAATGTGTTTAAAAATTAAGAGGTGGGAGTTTCCATAATGATTAGTCTAGTCTCAAAAGTCGTTTTTAAGGTAATTCAAAAACTAGTAAAGATTTTTTTTTTTTTTTTTTTAAACGTCCAGTGAGTTCTGCAGACATATAATTATAGAACAGGGATGTAAATCTTCTGGTTTTTTCCAGCCGATTTGCCATTTGGGCCTCAGCTTTTAACAAAAGTCTACTATAGATAATACATATTATACACTAAATAGAGGTTATTTGTTGTAATAGAGGGAAAGAAACAAATATAATGTAGTCTCATTGTATTCTTATTTCAGTCAGTGCACGTATATTTTCTAGCTTTTTTTTTTCAAATGCTGTTTACATCCCTGATAGAATATACAATAAAAAAAGATTGTACTAAGTAAGATACACACATATACTGCACATGGTGATATTTATGTTCCAATTTAGGAGGAAACTCTACTAAATGGCCACCTGCCCATTTGCATATTTACTATCATTTACATGCAAATGTGATCAATCATCAATTCATTCATACCTTCAAAGTGCCCATATGATATGCTGAAAATGTTACTTCGACCTTGCTAGTGTTGCCTCAATTCAAATTACAGTATAATAGAGTATAATAATGTTCTTTCACCGGTGTAGCCTTTTAAGCCTAGCTGTTTTTACCTTCTGAACTAATTATAGGTCTTCCATCAGTATAACCCTTTTAGCTTGACCACAAAAAAGTTTCTTTTTCTGAAGAACACGTGTTTGGGAAAAATGAAGTCAATCAAGCCTGCTCTAATGGTCATTCGTCCGAGAAAATGAGCTGTGCGAATGACTACTTCCCATTCTACCGTGCATTTTTAAAATATAAAGACACCTGTCGGGGGCGTCTCCTGTCTAAGAAGTGTAATTTTTTACTCATTCAGTACATACATGTATATAGTGTGTTTTCGGCTCGTTTTTTTCCCCGTATCTCATACGAAAAAGAAACATGAGGTATTAAGGCTGATGCTTTCTTGGTCATGGAAATTGTTACCTCTAAAAGTTGTTTAGAGCTCTACAGAATTATGGTCTCAAATTTCAGTAAAACAGCCAATAAAACATTTGGTGGGCTTTCCGTTCTCTCCGTTTTTAAATCACGCCAGTCTCTAGTTATTAAAAAGATTGATCTTTTATGTGTATGTAATTCATTGTTACTTGTCTTGTTTCTCATTTCTTCTTCTTTGTTTTGTTTTTTTTTGTTTCACAGAGTCAGAAAGCAATGATGTTGATGACAACACAGATTTCACTCTTGAACCAGACTTACGTGGGTTTTATTCAGTATGTTTGCCCACAGAGCTCAGTCCAAGTGCAGATGACAAAGCTGTAAGTTTGAATTTTTTTCCTGAAAATTTTTGTTTTGTCTTGGAATTACTTTTTGTTAAAATGTTGATACCTAACTGGACACAGTGCAAGCTATTTTATGGATATGTTACTGGGGTTGTCTGCCAGGGTGGCGCTCACAGATGTCTGTGGTGGTGTTCCTCTGAAAATCTTCACCATAGCATGCATAAGACATCAGTTTTGCTCGGGGGGGGGGGGGGGATTTTCTTTTCTTTTCTTTAAAAAAAAATCATCTTGGATGTTGTATCCCCCTCAGCCCCTGTTGGTCCTAACATGCAAGGTTGGAGCAGCTGACCTCATTTCTGATTTTAATTGTGTTTACAGAGCGTTGAAACATTTACAGACAATTTGTAGCTCAGCAGGCTCAGGTTAAAAAACTATGTTTAAATTAAATGTGGCTTGCTTTGGCTGATTAAATAATGTCACTCGGGGCATAAAATATATTCAATTACATTTTTCTTAATAGGCGTTTACCTTTCTGCTGCTTTTGTTTGTTGGTTTTGTTTTGTTTGTTTTTTTGTTTTGTTTTTTCGTCTTCTGACCTTTAATAAATGTTTGCCTATTTTTAGCTGGAATTGGTTTTCTCATTCATTTCGCGCGGCTGGGCTCTTATTGTTCTGATTTCTTTCTTTCATTACAGGTCATTAGAGAGGTCTTTGAGCAGGTTGGCGAGGTGAAATTGATCCACATCACTTCAAAGTAAATATGGACTTCTTCCAATTTTTCTATTTGACCTGTCCCATGATCAATTTTCATAAAGTAATCGTAATGTTTTCGGCCCCCCCACCAGCACCATTTAGATTATTTAGTAGGCGGGTAGCTTGGCCCATGCCTTTCAGGACTAGCCTGGTTGGGTGGAGCACATTTCTCTGAAACTGGCTAAATTAAGTGTGATTTTTCGCGGATGATAGCTTTCCCAATGTTCTGAAAATTATCCTTGTGTGGCCAGAGGACTGTGAGAGTTAAAATGCTTGGAAAAATAAAAGTGTGTTTGGAATAGGCTGTGCTAATGGTGGGTGGTTGGAGGACGCCACTGTCAGGTCCTACTTCTTTTCTGTTCTGCTATTGTTTCTGTCCTTTTATCTGCACTGAATGGGGGTGGGTGGAGGGAGCCAGGGGTAGGTCCTACTTCTTTATTTTCCCTCTGTTGTTACTGTATGTCTGTCTTACCTTTTCCTAGCACTAAATGACCATTATTGTGTCAATGTGCTTCTCTTTACTCTAATAAACAAACCTGCACTTAATGACTGTTATCATGTCAATTTGTTTCTTTTTACTCACAACTTACAGCATTGTACAGAGGCTATCAATTTTTTTTTTTTTTTTTTTTTTTTTTTTTTTTAAAGGCCTGTTGCCAATTTGATAGTTTATATTGTATTCATCTGATTTTGCTTTATATTTTTTCTGACCGTCTTCCTTTTGTCTTATCAAAATTTTCTCTGCAGCTGGGTTTTTGTTAGATATGCCTCGCTCGCCGAGGCCAAAAGTTGTGTCGACACATTTAAAGATGAGTACGATGTGAGATTGGCCCAGAACAAGAAAAAGGCGGAGTCATCGAAGGAAAAACCTGAAAAGAATGGCAAGCCGTGGGTGTCTTCAAAGGGAGGTAACAAGAAAGGTCCGAGAAGGAACAGAGGAGAGTTCACAGAAGCAGAAGATGAGAGTGATTACGAGCCAGTCAAAGTGGACAGGGTCAAGAACGGGAGACGCGCAAAAGAGAATGGGAAGGCGGGCCTGGCTAAGAAAAACGCTGGTGATGTCTCGATGGTCAATGGACATAAGTCTGTGGACAGACGGGAGCAGAATCACGGTATGACTTGGCGTTCTTCGTTTGGATAGACTTGTGTAGATCTAATTTGGGGTGGGGGATCTATGAGAATCACCTCACCTGCACAAACACCCACTCTCTTCCT